CCCCCCCCTTTCTCTCTTTCTCTCTTTTTCTGATACTTTTAATGTTCTTAACAATTTACGGATATTGCACACGGTGACGCGATGCAAGATACATTTCGTTAATATTCGTGAAAAAGTCGAAATTACTATGCGCGTTACGGTTTCATCGAAATTTATATCGTTATACACTAGAAAGATGTAATTGACTAGTCACACGGAGGAGAATAATATTTGATTATAACGATATAGACAAAACTGTTATCAGTGTGCAGGTTACGAGAGAAATAAGTCGAAAGATGATTAAAGAATCAATGCTCGATACGAACATGCGGAAAATGCCGGAAATAATCGCGGTCGTTCGTGTTTACATAACGTGCGATCATGCATGATAATTGGTAATAAAAACTCAATTAAAATGAGGATATCAAACACGTGTTGCACTAAATTAAAGGTATAATAAAGTGGAAAATTTGGGGTAAGCTAAATGCATTCAGTAAGAGAATTATGTGTGTGTGCGGGTAAAGAAAATATTTGAACGTATATATGAACGTGAATATTTTTAATACACTCTGATTGCATCATGGAATATATTGATGACACACCGGTAACGATGATAACGATAATATACCGATAACAGTGAGCACAATGAACTAGTTATAGAAATTAACCCAGCGAGGTATTCCGAAAGATAATTCTTGCCCAAATCTGCGAGAAATAAAACTCGGGACGATAGTCCGCGTACGAATCGCTTGAAACACCCCTCCTGAAATTTGCAAATCACGGAAAAAGCTAGGCGACACAAACGCAGCCAACAAAATGCACGTAGCGGCAACACGACTATTACTCTTAATTTCGATTATGCGCGAACCATTGTATCGGAATCACTCATCATGATAGAAAACACTGGAATTGTGGCGATTTTTATTGTCGAGCTTGCCTCTCATGGAAAAGCCACTCTTTTAGCCGGTCGACACAATCGCGCGACGGATCGACGGTAGACACTACTTTCATCGCAAAACATCTAAACTCTACGCGATGTTGGGCAGGTTTGATTGTGCCGTTTCTTCACTCCCTTCGCCGCGTTTCGAGCATTCGCGCGTCGCACTTTAATCATCGATCTTTCTTCTTATTTTTTTTTTTACTTTTTTTGATTGAGGAACGTCGAACACGCTTTTGATTCGCTTAAAGTACGATCCGTCTGTCTTTTGATTAATAACAAAGTCGTCTATCACTCGTCCTATCTCGTTTTCGTTTCAGTCATCATCGACGAACTCTCCCCATCCACCTATCTAACCGACCCTCTTCTTTCTTCTTCTCACTGTCTCTTCCTCTATCTCTTTTTGCCTTTTTTTGTTTTTTTCTTTCTCTCGTCTTTTTATCCGTTTTCTCGCGGGCAAAATTATGGATTACGTATCCACGGGATGTGGTGTCGCGAGAGAGTTTCATTCGGAAGAGACGTCAGACGAGTCATCGCACCCTTTCAAAGCGCGACGCTTTCGAGCTGCGAGTTTCCCGATACAAGGGAGAATAGTACCATTGAAAATTCGTGCCGGGGCACGTCGAGAATGCCAAATCTCAAACACGTTCTACGCAGGGGCAGACGATGACTCGTCGGAGCCCCAAAGGCCGGGCCCGCGGCGGCATAACCAACAGATATGAAGTAGCGAAGTGAAGAGAGCGAAGTGGCGAAATCAGGAAAGAAATATTAATTCACGTTCTCGTTTAATTCGCGAAAATTTGAAAAATCATAAATTGACACTTAAGATTGATGTAAACGCATAAATTGGAAAGGAATTTGCGAAATCGATCTGATATTCTTCGGGGCCTGTTGGACAATCTCGGGAGCTCGGAGCTCGATTTAGTTTCATTAGTTTCCGTATTAGATTCGCGTCCGGTTTTATCCGTTGCTCCTGCATAAACGCGGTTTGAGGAAAAGAGGAGACAAGATGTTATCGGTGCGACGAGCATGAGCCGCGGTACTTAAAACCGAGGGGGGTGAGAATGAGTGGCGGGTACGAGGAGCGAAAGATAGGACGATGGAGATACAAAAGATCGGGCGCGAAGATAACGGAGACGGGTTGCAGTAAGTTTCAGCCGCTTCCCATCTTTTCAAGTATTGAAACTGCTCGTGCTATCACCTCGCCGATCCACGGCTCGTCCCACCCCCGATATCCTCTCTTTCTCAGCGAGCGGGTAGTTTTAACGACGGGGGAGCACGTCGATGATGAAGGTTGCCTACGATCGGATCCTTAAACGGCTGCCGCGCGGACAGGGCACGCGTGGACAAAACCCCCCTCACCCCCACAGAAAAGAAAAAAAAATCAAAACTTAACTCGTCTAATCTAACTTTCGTGCTGTTGGTGCAATGTGCCTATCTACGAATTATTTAACCTCCCACTTTTCGTCTCTCGCTTGTGCTATGTGTTTTTTATTCGTCGCTCGCCCTCCCTCTCACTTTCTCCCTCTCTCTCTCACACATCCTCTCACATTTTCTCGCTCACTCTCACTCTCTTTCTCGCTCGCTCGCACACTTCTTTCCCCCATCCTCTCGCGCTCTTCCATATGTACGATTGCACTCACGCATTTCTTACATATTCCGTGACTTACACCGGTCTCGTCTTTTCTTTGTATCGATTTTGGCCAAGTCGAAATTCGGGACACCGGAGAGATTGTGATCGTTTCACTGCTTCTCGGACAATTACAATACACGCGTGCACGCATCGCCTTTTCCTAGCTATTTTACTCGTTTTATTTATTTAGTTATTTTTTTTTTTTCGTTCGTTGTTAAGAATTCGTGTGTTTCTCTCTCTCTCTCTCTCTCTCTCGTTCACGCAGTCGAGATTGTTTTCACAGAGAGACGGAGGGATCGATGGCTGTCTTGCTTCCTTTCCCGAACTGAACTCTTTTATTGCTTAAACGCCTTAAAGTGCCGACCTCCACTGGGGGGTTCTCTACGTAGTTGTCTTATATAAAAATCTAACGTTTACTTAAAAACCACGGTGACCCCGGTACGATCGGTCGTTCCGCGCGTCTCGTCGCCTTTCCCGGCACGAAACGCGCTTAATTCGTCGATGCCTCCCACGGCGCACACGTTTCTGATCGTTATTATAAAAATATCCAACTGGCCTAAGTGCCGCGTCCGAGAGACAGACTCGATTGATAGAAAATGGTTGCTGAACCGCCGCCCGCTGCGAAGATATCACGCGCAAATTGTCGTTTGGCCACGAATCCGATAAATAAGTGTTATCAACTCAGGTGCGAAGTCTTCGCGTTATTATGGCAAAAATCGAATAAGACACGTGGATCCGGTAGATCCGTGGTTTTCGTGACGGGGGCGGGGTGGGGGAGAGTTGTACGAAAGGACCCGATTGCCTCGCCCTCGGTATAAACGCTGCGTTATTTATCGAATGTACGCGAGATCCACCTCCTCCCTGCCGCCGAATTTCGAGTCGGCCTCGAGCAACTTTTTAATATAATATGCCTATCTAACTAGCTAATTGCAGAATTTCGTTTATAATAACCTTTATTCTTTTATGTATATTTTCTTCATTCATTTATATATATTTATATATTTATATATTTATATATTTATATATTTATATATTTATATATCTTCACGTGTGTGCTTCGGTTAATCGATCTTTGTATTTATCATTTATACACCGCGGCCGCTCGCCGGCCGGCACCGCATTTCGGGGCCGCGAGCGCGCCATTCGACATTACGTCTTTGAGTTATTATTTTTCGCTGTTAAGCCCAAACTACAAAAATAATGAATCCGGGTAACGAGTCGGTATCCGGCGGTCTGTATCGACGCTCTTCCGTTTCTTTCGCAGGTTCGTCCGAATTTATACGCATCGTTAAAACATTGATAAACATTGATACGGGTAACATTGATAACCGGGGATCCCGTTGAACATGTGCGGATTCGTGTTTCTCGTGTGCTCGTGTACTCGCTGGACGATACATAGTATGCGTAATTGGCCGTTTTCGCTGCAGGAAAAAAAAAAGAGAAAAAAATACACCACTCGTCAGACCGTCACATGGCAAATTCGCGCGTATGCCGGATTTCCCGTATTTTGTATCGAAGCTTCGGGCACTACTGTTTACGGCGAACGCTATCTATTTCTTCAAGCCGAGCGAGATGCTAGATTATCCTACAGACTGGACGAGAGGTATCTCCGCTTAATAATCGGTAGCGGTTCCTGTTTTCTTTTCCCTTACATTTTGGACGTGAAAATTTACGGGGAGAAGGGATGTTGGATGTATCTTGCTCTCGAGAGGGGTGGCTTTACCTAGAGATTATGATTCTTATTTGCTATCTTTCTTTCTCTTTCTCACTGTGCCTCTTCGTTTCTTTTTTTGGGTTTTTTCTTTTTTTTTGTTTTTTTTTTTTTACTAAGCGAGTGTTATCTGGTTTTCGTGGTCGCCGTCTTTCGACTTGCGCGTCGTCAAGCCGGAAGTGGTATGAGTTTTACTGCTTTTGATGTCGCGGTGGCATCGATGATGACGGAAATGTTGTTGTTATTGATGTTGTTGTTGTTGTTGGTGATGGTGGTGGTGGTGGTGATGGTGGTGGTAGTGGAGGAGGAGGTGATGGTGGTGGTAACTGTTGTTGCTGTAGAAGTTGTTCCTGTTGGTGGGGTGTACTTGCTTACCATCACACTAGAAGGCTAGGCGTCAGCCAGTCCTCATCCGCTAGCTGGACCGCAACCAAGAACACACTTTACCATTTGAACACACAAACGCTGGTTAAGTCTTGGTCCGAATTTCAAGAAAGTAATAGAAAATATGCTCGACAATAGTTCTCTCTCTCTCTCTCTCTCTCTCTTTCTCTCTCTCTCTCTCTCTCTCTCCCTCTCTTTCACTCGTCTTCGCGCTCCCTCTTATATGCTCTTTCCCTCTTGCTCTCTTTCTCCCTTCCATTCATTCTTTCTCGCGCTTCTGCATCACCCCCTCACTCTTGCTTTCCCCTTACAATTTCTCGCATACAATTTCTCTCCTACTACATAGATTCTAACCAATCTGAATCTACCTTTACCATGACTCAACCTCAACTACATGGCGTAGTAAGGATGTAAAAATTGCATCGTAATCGTACAAGTATTTATAAGTCGTACAATAGCGATCTACTTGTCTTGTGATTCAGCGCGCATCAACGACGGCGAAATGAACGCAAAGTTACGTGCGAGTTATCTTGCGGAGTTTTCTCCTATTTTTTTTCTTTTTTTTTTCATGTCTCTGCCACAATCGGATCGAGTTTACGTCGTTACGAAAGCTACAATCGAGTATTTATTTTTTTGAGTGGATTGGTATTTTTTTATCTTATTCACGCCGATAAAATAAATGCGGACTTCTCATCTCTTCTCCCGCTTTTGGTTTCCTCGCATGGTTTTCTTCCGTTCCCTTTCGTTTTCGTAGGAAATATTATCCTTTTGCATATAAAAACAACGTTGCAGCGAGTATTTTCAGGCTGAATGCGAGGTTGAGCCAGGTTGTAGATGCAGTTATCTTGATGCTAACTGATATTCGAAAGAAAGGATAAGCCAGGCCGTGCGATGATAGTGGTAGCGATCACTGTGCCTGCGAACCGAAATATGTAAATAAAGACTGTTTTTCCAAACATCTCGAGCATCCCTCTTGAATAATGAACAACGAGGATATAGCGATTATATTGCTCAATCGATTTATTCCATTTTTTAAATAACATTTAAAACAACGTGTCAATTAAAAAAAAGACGTACCGATTATTAAGTTTACGATAATCAATGGCACGAATGATTGCAGATTATTGCCTCAAATTGTGTAACGTTGTCTCAAAGTAACTATTCTATTTATCGATAAAAAATTGTAGTATACAAAAAAAGATAATCTCTGATCTCGTTTTTTTTTTAGAAGAGGGCATATAAAATAAAAATGCTTCGGTGGGATACTCGAGTCGAATTAGATAAAGTGCAAGAAGCATAATGCATGCAATGTTTACATTTCGCATTCCGTATTCATGCAAGTCAAGTTCTATGTAGAGTAGGCGATTAGCTTTTCATACTCATGTTGTATTTATATGAAATCGATTTAATATTAATATAATTAAATTGGTGTCTTTTGTTTTTAATTCAGTTGGTTTTCTATTTTTTGACTCACATCGTATAATTGAATCAAAGTCTAATTGAGAACAAACAATTACATAATTTATACGGAGACACACCGTTGAAGTTTTTCGGGTCACGAGTGCAAAATTATGAACGTTCATGTAAATTTGCTCGCTCGGATTCTATTATGATAAAACGACGGGGCTCTGACATTTTTCAACGGCAAGTTAGGTATTAGCTAAATAAACGGCAAGTCGATAGCGCGATTTAACACATCGGCAATATATTTTCGGCGTTTCATCGCTCTTTCATTGTTTTATCGCTACTATTAGTAAGAATTCACGTTCAATTCAGGATGGTTTTCGATGGCTGGTTCTCAAGCAAGTTTCAAAGTGGTATTTCGCTTGACACATGCAGTGATATAATGCGAGCCCGAATTTTCGGGGGAGGGGAAGGGAAGATATTTGTGCGAAAGCGAGCTAACTTTTCTCTTTCGATGCGATAGAGAGATGAGCAATCGTACATGACTTTTGCTCCGTTGTACGTGATACACACAAAGGACTCGCTAAAGCAACTATAGTTACGTAAAATGTATATATCTTCTTAAGCACATATGGGCGACAGGCTGTTTTACGCACTGCAAACAGTTGCAGATTAATGACTGAAAGCCGAAATCGATACAGCGTTTGCAGAACGCGACGTTATCTCGAATTGCTCGTAGTCAAGCTGCTGATAATAGTTATCTAAGGATTTCTTGTACGCCATTATTAAATGTGTCGCCCTTTCCGATTCGAGATTACACAAAAATGCTGTGCATGCGCGGGGAAATGTCCATGATATATTTAGGCACAGTCGTTCGCACGCGAAGTACGAAAAAATAGGTACGCGTGTTGTTAATCCTAAGGGACCAGAAATGTCGCGATGTTTATTGGATTTTATTCCCGGGAACTCATTTAGATCCTCGCAGATTCTTAGAGCTAAAGCTACGACGGATGAATGGAATCGGCGGGCAAATCGGATTTTAAATCAGATACTCGTTCGTTAATTCGGTTTCGCGTATTTCAACTTAAGTTCACTGGTTCTCCTGCTCGACGGAAAACAATTATTCTCTTATTTCCAATAATTGTATTTCCTTTGAAGCATCTTTTTAACTTTGACTTTTTAACCGTTTGATTCGACTTACTCCTTAATCCCGTGAACTTCACGTTTTAGCAATTGATGAATGCGTTCCTTCCTACGGTTATATATTAATAAATCGATATTATACTAAGGGACGAGCTCGCACACCGTTTGATTCGATTATTCAAAGTGACCATTCCGCAATTTGAATTTTATTACTCCATAATCCGAAAGGAATTTTACAATTTGAATTTTAAATTAAGATACGAAGAGTTTAAAATATTACGGTTGAAAGGGGTGGGACATGTTAGATATATGCATGATGTGTATGTGTGCGTGTATATAATGCAATTGTAATTAATGAACATAGAAGCCATTAATATTTGAAAATCGCAGTTATGTACACATTTTCAGTTGATTGAATAAGCGACAGAGATGGAAATATGTATAAAGAAATAAGCGGAGAGTTAATTTGAAAATTTCAAAGTTAGATTTTTAGCGAGCTTTTAAATTATAAGATAGTCATTCTCAATTCTGAAACCCCGGGTTGTCAAGTTCAGAAATTGTTCTCATGGCAAAAAGAATCGCGGGGCATTAGAAGCGGTGCTGAGTTGAAATGCATTCTCTGCGCTCGCCCGAAGCCATCCGCGTGATCTCTTTTCAAATATTCCAGATTTTTTCGTGGCCGTTCTTAGCGATGGCGCGTGTGCCTGTGTGCAGTGCGCACTTTCTTACGTGTGCAGTCCGTGCGGAAAATATAAAATGGTCGAGGTATACTTTTCTGTGGACAACTACGATAAGTATCATATTTCACCTCCACTGCCATGAGCCGCAATTTTTTCAGCATATCTAAATCACGATACGTCGAGCGGGAAAGTGAGTCTGTCTTGCTCCATCAATGTCTGGCGCGGGGAAAACGAAAAATTGCTCCGTTACAAACGTGTGCAATCTTCTCCCCCTCTCTTTTCCTCCAACGGATTAGAGATCACATTAGAAGGATACAGATCGAAGCGATACAACTACGATTTAGCATCGCCCCGTTCAGTCCCACCGATACTCTCTCCAGCATCGGTATACCCTTTTCAGAAAAATTCCAAGCGAGCGTTCTCTTTCCCCTTCACATTCTCTCTCCTCAGCCTTTTAGTTTCTATTAATATATCTCGAAATTCGGTACACAAGATATAATAGAAGCGCTCTGCGTTGCACAAGTATTCCGCTTGTATATTTCTCGCCGTTGCTACTTGTGTTACTTCAATCTAGTGGACACATGCTCACTACAAACATTCGACCACACACAACCGTTTATAACACAATCATTACCGCCATGGGACAGCTTCGTCTATGGCAAGGCAAACACGCTCGTCGGAACTGGCAAACGAAATATTAATTGTACATCTATTTGCGCAGAGATGGGTAACGTGCTGTGTAACCACTCGGGCATAAGAATACTTACCGTCTTCGTATCGATTTATTACAACTGGACGAATTGCGCGTACGCGAAAGACGCGAACGGCGAACGTACTGCTTTCTTATGAAACACCCAACTCTGCTCACACGCAACCCGCTAGTTGCGATCTTCGACGCGCAAGCACGTGCACACACGCGTCTTCGATAATAATACGCGTCTCGCTTATACGCAGCACTATTCCGTTAAATGTCAAGCGGTTGCGCGTTTTCCATCCATAAATTGAAATCACCGACGAATTGAAGATTAATGATGTAGCGCGCGCGTGCAGCCGCGCTATCGATAGAGCGATTCATTTGTCGCTCGCGACGTAAAACGTGCGATTCCCATTTAGTAATTCAATTTAAGAAATCGTGGCGCGTTGTTCCACAAAACCGTCGGTAAATAATGCTGCGCACGGCGCAAATTGCTTGAAATTATCATACCGCCGTTGCTCCCGTAACCTCGGCGATGATCGTTAACTCAAGTCGGGATGAATATTACACCGGATACACGTGCGTGGCTAATTATATGACATGCGTGTTACCGTAACCACGTTTCACTATTTCATCTGTGCAAAATTGTTCCGCGCGCCGGTGCGAGCGCGCGGCATTCGCGCGAAGCGTGCCGAGTTCTATCGCTCGAGTTCCCGAATGATATACAGTATCAAGTTTACGAGGTTTCCCAAGATCACCGACAATATATGTATACGCTATACATATGTATATATATATATATATACTGCGCGCACGCGCGCGCGCGCATATTCTTCTTCTTCTGCCGACACATGCCTTCGATATCCTTTTGATATCGAATCGAGTTTCCACGTGCAACATTTACAAGCCAATACCGGCACCGACGAAATTGCCTTTGCACGTAACAGGGACAAGATGCAGAGGTATGTAAAGAAAAAAAAAAAGAAAAGAAAAAAGCGAAACACACTCTCCTACGTTAGCAAACGAACACCACACACAACGAGCACGGTGCGCGCTCGCGATGCGCACAGACGGGATAGATAAAGTAATGGTTACCTGGAACTGTTGCATCGGGTAGGCCATCATTTGTGCCGGTGGCGGTGGTGGCGGGGGTGCGGCTTGCACCCCTGGGGGTGCCGTGACCGTCGTGGCGTGGTGTGGTGGTAACTGTGGTCCCCCAGGTAATCCCTGGCCCCATCCTGCCGCTGTGCCAGCGGCGTGGACACCCATGCCCATTCTGCGTTCGCAAGAAGTACGAAATACGTAACTGTGTCGGGTCGGGCAGTTTTTCTTTCTTCCGCTTTGTCTCTTTCACGAGGGCGAAGGGAGAACGGAGCTGAACGAATTTGCTCGACGATTATCCGGATGTGCGATGTATTTTGTACGCTCGATAATAACAGCGACGAGAACACGTGTCTACGCCGGAGACACGTTAGACGTTAACCTTCTCCGGGTAGTTCTGAATAATTGTTATCGAAGTTACATGCCCCCGATTTGCCAAAGTGCTCGATCGTAAATTTTCGAGCTCTCTCGTCTGAAAATTTCCCGCACCGGTGTTAAAATCCGCGTCATGGGCTAAATCCACCGAGACGGATGATTAAAAATTGAGAGGGAACGGTATATTCGTAGATTAGATCGGTGGAATTTCGATTCTTCGTATTCCCCTCCTCCTCGATTATTCGGGGATCTAGTCGCGTGCGAAATTTTAGCGCCGACGGGGAACGACGTGCTCGCACAATACGTCAAACGTGAACTCGGGCAAGAAAAACCGATGATCTCGCGTGAAAAGCTTACCCCATATATTGCGCCTGTTGATATCCGGCGAACTGTCCATAAGTGTATCCCTGCATGCCCTGAAGAAAGCCACCAGCTTGCATTTGTGTTGCTGTCGTGGGATAAGATTGGGGCGGATACCAGTATCCCAGTTGTCCGGCACCGCCGACGCCACCGACGCCTCCGACACCCGCGACGCCCGCCGCCGCCGCGGCGGCAGCTGCCGCCGCCGCGTAGTATGGGTACGTCGCCGACGATAACGCCTGAAAGAGCACGAGGATCAATGAAATAGAAAAGAGCAAGAACATTGTCTGGATTTTATGCTTAACGATGCCGATAGGGTCAAGAATAGTAATCTCGTTCCGCCTCGTGGATTCTCGCGCGTACGTTAGAATGACGAAGCTCATGTCTCGGCGCGATCATTTCCGCGCCACTAAAATTATTCTCCCGATATATATCTTTCCTTGCATTATCGCTGAATGATATTCATCGTTAAGTTATATTTTAGCAATTATAACCTCCAAGTTGTGCGACCAACCTCTTCGTGCGACTGAAGGGAGAGAGAGAGAGAGAGAGAGAGAGAGAACTATTTTTCTTCTAATTCTCTGATTAATTATCGAGTTTCCAACAACGCTTAGGAGCGCATCATGAGTGAAATTGATGAACTTCTTTTTGCGAGAAAAAGCTCAAAAGTGTCCAATGGGACGCGGCGACGCGTCACCGCTGAATGGAGCGCGCGAAATGCATCTTTGATGCTCGGTGGCTACGCTTTCGAGAAGTTTACGAAAATAATGTACGGCCGTTATGGCTCTTCGTTAAAGCGGCACGATGAACCGGGATATCACGCAAACCAATCCGATTCCGTTGAATACGAGAACAGGGTATGGCAGGATATACGTACTAACGTGATATCTCGGCTCCCCTGGGAGAAGCGCGTTATGGGAATAGAGATCAATTAGAGCGATGTCACGGGCCGAGTAGCAGTGGATGGATGCACGGAAGTACTAGCGGGGAGTGCGAGAGGGTTTGGGAAGTACTTCGGGTACCATTCCCAGATCGGGCGTACCTACCCGTCCTAACGGAGCTAATTGCTAAGAGACCCGGCCGACACACTTCGAAGAGAGGCACCTGAATAGACCGGAATCTTGCCCGATTCCCTCTCTCTCTCTCTCTCTCTCTCGCTTTCTCTATTTCCATGTTCCTCTGTCTCTCTCTCTCTCTCTCTCTCTCTCTCTGTTTCCGGCTTTACTCTTTCACCGGACTATCGAGCCAGTCCCCCATATACCGATATACCGACACAGGGACACTTTAGCCGCGCGAAACTGGAAGGAAACCGGTCGTGATCGAGCCTGGTAACTACTTCCTTCTTTGAACGGCCGCGCTTCTTTGAGACGCGAATGTACACTGTTCGGTCTCACGTACAACAACGGCAAGCTTTGTTGAGTTTTACACGTACGTCGAGCAATTTGCCGCCACGTTTATCGCTCTGACGCCGTTCACCAGGCATGAGAGATTGAATCGCGACGTCCCCCTCGAGTCACTCGCTGCATTCTCCTGCGAATGCGATCGCCGCCGACTCTCTCTGTAACGTGGCGGCTAACGCGATTTATATTCTCCGAGATCGCCGTTCTTACTTTCCATGCATTACGTCTCGGGATATCGAGCGGGTTTATTCATGAAATAAGGTAGAAGAGAGGCTCCCACCGGTTTGGTATACGGACGGCGATGTAAATATCGGGGGAAACAGAGTGGGCGGAATTTCACGTCGAAAATGTCCACTTCGTAGGACGGAGTAAGAGGAGGAGATAGAGAGCGTTTACCTGTCCAGTTTGTTGAGCATTATTAGGATCTCCACTCTCCTTGCCCCAACTGCACTTCACCGTTTGGCCGTTGATGTCTGTGTTGTGTACCGCTACGATGGCGTGCGTGGCCGACTCCTTGGTGGAAAACCTGAAATCGAAAGAGAAGGGGATTTAGGTCTTCCGCCGTGGGACGTGTCTTCCGACGGTCGGTGGCGGTGTTGGTGCGCGCGATGGTGTATACAAAAAGAAAAGCCCGCTCCCCGGAGCAATGCGGTGCTCCTTCCACCAGTTAAACCGGACCTTATTATGGCGGCTTAACGAAATGGTCTCTGCGACTGGGCGCGTAGTTTAATTTATGCGAGTTTACTGTGCGCACGAATGAGCACAGTAATTGTGAATCTCGACGAATCTAGATTACTGTAGATGTAGGCAGGCATTCGCTGTTAAATTCTACACACCGGTTACGCGAGGTCAGTTTCTAGTTTGCTAGAATAGCGCGCCATTTTGGACCGGGGAAATGCGCGTTACCGTTTATTACGACGAATGATACGGATAAGTTGCGCCACAACGGCCCGCCTTTTGGCGACATTTTAAAAGCCGAGCGAGTATGAGAGGAGGGGGGGGGGGAGAGGTGGAGAGGAAGCGGGCGATTTAATATTCCAAGCGTTCCAAATTTGTCCGACAGCATCGGCAAAGAATGCATTATGTTTTTTGTTGCTGCGGGACAGATACCTCGGGGTTTGTGGGCCATTACGTAAATATTTTAGCGCGACAATGAAACCCGATTCTATATGTAGCGCTCTCCAATTATTCAAATATATGAGAATCCGTCACCTCGCGGTAAATTTGATCAACTTTGTCTTCGGAGGACAAGGACGGGGTGCTCGAAGATCTCTGATTAGAGTGTGCGACGAATTCGACAGGCCGCGCATGAGAGAGAGAGAGAGAGAGAGAGGGAGGAGCGAGAGGGAATTATTGAATTTATCGAGGATTAGGTCACTTTTAACGTTCGCGTTCAAGATTGCACAATGGCGACTTCGTCTAGGCGCTCGCCCCCTCTCCATCCATCGAGCTTCCATCCACGATCGTTGAGTAGGACGAACGATGGTCATCGTCAGCAGCCCCCTCCCTCCCGAGTCCCCCGAACCCCGAGCGATAACCAGCGGCAGATAAGATTCTTTCTTTCAACCGAGAAGAAAAGACCTCCTTCCCTTATCCGCCACCCGTCTTGCTTCCTCGCTGTACTTTGCAGTAAGTCCATACGTCATCGCGAGATATTCGTTTCCGGGGTACCGCGTGTTACGGGAGAACGGAGGGAGGAAGAGCAATTAGACGGAAGATATCTGAACGACGGACATTGTCCAAGGGTGGCGGAACTGTGGCAGACGTACGGGAGCGGCGGAGGCCATCGTATCGGATAAGGACGGACAAGGATGTCGAGCAACGCGCGCGCGAGAAAGGATAAGGGACGGAGGGATGGCGGGGGTGGTACGTAAGAAAGGGTTTTTTGTCTCCTTCTTCCGTCCCTGTTTCCCTCTAGCCTCCTCCACTCCCGCCCTCTCTCTTATCGTTCGTTCTAGAGCAACCCTCCCACGCTCTCGGCAGTCTTTTCTGAGGTAGGTCACGGATCCCTAGCCGTCGTTAAGGTGAAGCGCTGAATTCGCCTTCGGGAGATATAAATGCTCAGCTGATTTCACGAGCTCTCAGGCTCCTTTTTCACCGGGCTCGAAGAGATATCGACGCGGCTCCCGCGCCACGGAATTTATCATTATTTCGCGATTGTAACGTTAATTTATGTGCTGACAAATTTACGCGCGTCAGTCAGACACCGGGGCGGGGTTTGCCGTATGTGACGACCTAACTAACACCGACCCTCTCGTCCGTGCGTGAAGTTACACGTATTTTACAAAATATCACATCCTCGTTATAAAGTATTTGACAATCCTTCATGGAATGTTTTCGAAACATACACAGCCGATCTCATCCGGCGCGGCAAGTTGAACCGAAATATATGATCTGTGCGGATGTAATGGGTAGATTAATGAAATGGCCACGATCCGAGCTTGATGAGTCCGACATGCTGCCATTGACCCGACATGTTCTCGCGTCTCGTACCATAAATCACAAGCGGCGCTGGGTATTGACGCACTATGCATGCGATTTCCTAATATTTCGTAAAACCCCGCTTGATGACTCGCATTACTCGCCGGCCGATCATCGCTCATGGTTTTCGGTAAAATTTCCTCAAGTCTCGCGGCCCCGCGACCATTGTATCGCAGGCTCAAAATCCAATCGCTTTATGCAAATGTACCCTTTGTACACGCGTTACACATACGTTGCTTCCACCTGCTTGGCTTCAGGCCAGATTGTTCGATTTTCTGATAAATTTATTCGGCCGGTTCGGTTGGTGTAAGCGTATCATCAGCCACGCATAATACGTGTATACTACGGCAATATAGTGTAATGGCTCTGGGTTGATTGGCTGAATGGTAAATTTAGACGTAAGCTTTCCCGACAATCGATGTGTGTTTGTGTGTGTGTGGTGGTGGTGACTGACCATTATGATTTCACTTCATTCGGGACAAATTCGCACGAGTAGGCGTTTGTCCTAAAAAATCGACCGAGACGACGGGATTGCGTAGCTTTGCGCAATACTCCGCGAAACTTTATTATGTTCAACATGCTGACGGGGTACTTCGGGGAATAAGAGTCCGGCAAAAAAGTTGTAGAGGTTATTATTACGACATAACGTCAAGGAGCACTTAAAGTTTGATTAAATTTACAACATCGTATGGTAATGGTGTATTAAGTTTTTGCTTGAGATTTTTCCTTTTTTTACAAGGCAGTAAAAAGCTCCGGTAATTAAGGAAGTTTGATTGTATAATCAGTGGAATGGTTTTAAGGATTTCATACCAAGGGGCGCGCCGTTTAATTCTTCATGTTCGGAGAATTGGCTTTGAGTGTTCCTTGTGGAGTCTTTGGTGATCGATAAGTCATCTTGCGATTTAAACAGTGGGTAGAATAAAATGACTTTTAACAACGGCAACTGATTAAGATGCAGCGCGATAACACGCGAAATTCTCGGCTGTTTGTCGGCTTATTAGAAGGGACGCGCATGGGTTTTATTAGTAAAAATTATGACAGTTTTGCGATATCTCTCTCGAGTAATATGTGATGATTATTGAATGGCGAAAATGGATACCTACGTCCGATGGGATAGATAAAGATATCCCAGGTTAGAAAAGCGTTCAGGGCGGATCGACCGCACATAATCGCCTTAACTTCATCTATAATTAAGTGCCGTGAGTTTGATAAAATAACCGGCGTGGACTATTTTCGTAAATACGTAGAATTATGTGGACCGCGCGAAAAGCCCCGGCTGATGCCAATGCGGTCCATGAATAATCGGGTTAACTCTTAGATGACCGTAAGCGAAAAGAATGGAATTAGAGCAGCGCTATTTTCAATGACCTCGTCGGAAAAATTGCAAAATAACCAGCCGGTTCATGGCGATGCGGCCGAGATATGTGTTCGCCTATCGATGTTTCGCGGATTATTTCTTATTCCACGGTTAACGCGACGGCGAAATTAAAAGTGTGTTGCGTATCGATCGGCTATTCGTGACGGGGACTCGTAACAAAAAGTTACCGGCATGTTCAGCGTTACGCGCATGGATGGTACTCATACACGAGCGAGGCCGCGTGCACCACGCGTTTGATTAAGTTTCCGTCTAGAGTCAGCTCTAGGATGCATTGTACGTTTCACGAAATGGCGAACGATCATCTCTGATTGCGGGATGTCTGGAAGCTTGCCTTGGGGAATTCCACCTGAGCTTGCACTGACAACTTGAAAAGCTACTACTCATGACACACACCCTACTCCGCGTTTCAACAACGTCGTTGATAGTCTACCGGGAACCTCAGGATTCAAAATTATCGGTTTTATCTCTCACGTGGCGCGTATGTCTGACGTGACGTGTTATTATTTGGATTTTAATTATTTGTCGAAGGTCCGTGTCAGTCCTTTTCCTCGCTTTCGTATTCCAAGGCCTGAAGACGGACGTGAATATTTACTCCCGACGCTTACGTTCCCCGAAAGTGTGTTTTTCCCGGGTAATGTCAATCTATGTGAAAACCGGCGAGATGGAAAATTAATGTTAATCCTCAGATTGCGGATCGTTCGACGAAGCAAGACGATCGCTGTGAGCAGTTTAGTGCTCTAGTCGTTACGATGCACAGCACTTGCGCGCGTTACGACGTTAACAAATGAGGACGTCTTCAGGCGCTGTTCACTCACGGTGAAGACTTTCGTCACACGCCTATGGGCGTAGTTTGTAGTTTAAGGGTTAGAGATATATACCTATACACCTAGAAACATATATGACGTATCGCTGCTTACGCGTCGTTCTTCTTCCATTCTGACTTCCCCGACTCAACATTCTGCTTCTCCGGCCGCGCTCCGTTGTGACGCTCCGGATAACAGCACGTGGCATTTGACACTCGCGTGAGCCACGGCAATTCGATTCGGAGAAACGCGTATTAGTTAATGCGATGTCGATGGGAGTTCGATTCAATTTTGTGAAAAGTCTACGGAATATTTTAATCGGGAATTGTAACGCGCCCCGATACACGTACTTTGCGTCGTGATATGTTCAGGGTTGGGAAGCAACGCGTTACTTGTAACGTCGTTACTGTAACAGTTACTTTTTCTCTTTCAATAACGACTTGGTAACGACGTTACATTTTCCCATTACAGTAACAGTAACGGTAATGCAGTTATATTTTTTGAATAACGGTAGTGAATATAATCGTTACTTGTATCGTTATTTTGTACACATACATGTATATATATGAAACGAGCAGAAGCGAATCCTAAAAGAAAGATTCACAAAACTCGGTATTCGATGTAATCGGTTATTACATTACGCGTTTATCTGATCGAATTGTCGCGAGTGTCAGTGCCAGTGACACGAGTTAATATACGAAGTGTCACGACGGAATAACCGGGGGTCAGGATACTACATTGGGAAGCAGGACGTCGCGGGACATCATATATTTCCAGATGTGTAAAAGTATTCACAAAGGATTTCCGATAATAACGAATATTTCACGAATTTACCGATGATAGAAAGAAATACTCGAGTCGAAATTTCGGCCGACGTTCATAGTCATAATCATTTACGCCCGATACGGAATGTGCCGGATATATATCGGTAATACATTAAGATACATATTTACCTGATGAATGCGTAGCCTTTGTCCTTAAATACTCGAATTTCTTGGATGGTTCCGAAGTGCGAGAAGGTCTTTTGCATGAGATCCTCCGTTAAACCGTTGGTCAATCCACCGCAGTACACCGTGCAATTGGTCGGACTACTTTGATTGTAAACTTCGTCAAACGTTAGCGGTTTCGCGTTCGCTGCGGGACAAAAAGATGAAACACCTTAGTCTCTGTTTGCTCGCGCAACATGTCGGTAGAAGTTTAAGAAACACGATTCAAGCGTTAGTAAATCACAGCTACACCGGATCCCTGAATATAAATTACGTCGTATGTAACTTTCTATGGATTCACAATATAAAAATTCGCAGTTGACTGGTAAAGGAAAGAGAAAAACACCGCCAGGTAAATATTCACAAATTTGTACAGAATTCTAACGTAAATCGCACAACGGGATATAGACAAATGCAGAACGGTTTGAAAATCGTTTATCGCGAGAGCTCGATTACGGTTTAAGCTAACGAATTTTGTACTGCGAATTTTTAAATTATATTTGCTAGAGTATCGGTGTTTATTCTGTTCATACCAGGAAATTAATTACTTCTAGCAAATATAAAATATGGAATTATGTGTTAACAAATTTACTTTACGTATATACACACACATACACACATCTACGTACAAATATACATGTATAAAACGCTCGCTACATTGCGATCTGTTTTAATCGACGTCAGCGTACCAATTTTCCTCAATTCGCGCGTTTAATTCATCGCGCGTCAAATATTAGTAATGTTCTATCGTTGTAAATTACGACGATAAAATTATTCCTTAATTAGGAAAACAATTCACACATACGCAGACATACATATACACGCACGCAACGCAGGAAATATCGACTGCCGTGCCATTTTATTTACACACCACCGGCATTTATTTTATTATCAATCAATGCTACACAGTCTCTCTCTCTCTCTCTCTCTCGCCACTCGACGTGTAAGTCCTGCTCGTTCGTAATCACGATTGGCGCATAAAGAATGAGTGACGCTTCGTTTCGTCCGGGCGGAGGGGCGAGGGGAAAAGGGAGCATTCATCAAAAAACGATCAGCGCACGGCGAAACGATTATTCCGCTCGCGACATCCAGCAACGATCGGCTACCGATCCTCGATAGCAATATAAGAAACAACACGCACATGGAGAGCCTTGGAAAAGCCATTATTGAAAGTATCTACTTCCCCCGCGACGCGATAGATCTCTCACGTATCCTTTGCCCCCGTCTGCCGCTCTCTCCGCTCAGCGCCGCGCTCCCCCCCCCCCCCCGGCATTACTTTTACTGATACTACGAAAGAGGTCAGCCGGGTTTCACGACGTGGTCGAAGCGGGACGCGAGCTGCTCGAGATATCGAACGCCAATGCCAAAGAGGTTGAACCCCGTCAGCTAAGTTTACGATCGCACGGGGGCTTAGCCTATACCGTGGAAGCAGGCTACGGGTGTAAACGCGACCGGTAAACCACGGCCTGTAATTGCCTCGTTCGGGGATAGAAGGTTCTCAGAACGGCAGAACGTCCCGTTAAGAACTTACCGAGGGACGTTCTCTTCTTTTCTCAAAGCTCGGCATTATCTCTTTATTGCCCGGCGAACGTTATTCTCAGTATTCCCGGAATGTCGGCTCGCTTGTCCCCCGCGTCGCCTATGGCCGGCTTTAAAAAAATTTTTTGTTTGTTCTAGAATGCTTATTTCGCGAGAAAGGAGTGATGGGAGGGGGGGAGGGGAGAGGAGAGCGAGAGAGAGAAAAAGAAGGAGAGCAGATTGAAATATCCGAGCGCCGGCGACGCTCACGGGGCCGTCAATTTTTTACGATTCCGCCGCTTTTGATCGCCGATCGTTGCGCGGGTTAATAGCTGCGAATTATTATACGACAAGGTGTAACGAATCAATGTGTCACCGCCGGTAGCCGATATTAGCGCGATATTGTTCCGCGAGTATGGGGGGACGGTTATGTACCGCGATTGTGAATTCCGCTCATCGTACCGAGCATCGTATCTCTGTACGCTTTCGCGTTTACTCTCGCTATCGCTGCTCGAGAAACGCGTGGTTTCCCCCTGGAGATTGCACACATTGTATCGTGGGTGGTTACTTTACAAAACCTCGAGTTAACAAGCATTTCGTGTGTCAAGATGCAGATAAATACGACATTATTATACAAAGAAAGACACGTCTACCTCTGTACATCTAATCGTTACAGATCTGATAATCCTACTCAGAGCATGCACAATTTTTGCGTCATTGATTGCGAACAAATGAACGGTGTCGGATTAACGGAATGTGGGAAATTCGGTTTCTCCGAAAATGGACTCGGCCAGTTTCGTATACCCGCTGGTTCCTATTGTGTCTGTACTTATGACAACAGATATGAAAGTACATGAGTCGAATTTATACATGGAGTAAAGCGATTCGAGTGTTACGGCCTTTGACAGGGGACAAGCGCTATAAAAACTGAACATTCCGCAAATAGACTAAAAAGACACAAACATTGTTTTCCCGACTCTTTTTCTCGTTTGCATTAATTCAATTACTTTATTCGCTATTTCCTCTCGTCCACGTCCGCCACTTTATTTATCCATCATCGGCCGGACTAACAAAAAGACAGTTTTAGCTCGAATAAGTGAGTTGAACGGTTTTCTCATGTTGAATAAGTGATACCGCTCCGGATATCCAAAAGCGAAATATGTATTCTCGAATATTTTGCATTAACCTGACTCTTTGACAAGCAATTTGTTCCACATTATGGCATAGAATGCACCAGGCGAATACATGGAACGGTATTTTGAGGAGACGCCGGAGATACATAACTCCTTTATAATACATTCTCCTTACAGAGAACTGTAATAAATTGCCTCCGACGGAATATTAATTTTATATCGGATTTTTAGCGACACGCGAAGCCGTCACTGCGCTTCTGTCAATACTTGTCCGAGATGTGGACGTAGTTTTTGAGATTTAAGCGAGAGGAGAAATCGAGATTCCAGATATCGGAGATCGATTGGAAGAATTGCTCCCGACGTTTTGAAGCGGTTACATCGAGAATATCTGGTTGAAAAATTGAAGAGCTATTGTAGATCTATGACGAAGGTTTTCGTACGGAGCTGATATTCTATAAGAGAAGAAAAAAGAGGATTTAAAAGAAAGATTGTGAAGATGAAATCGATCCAGATGGAGGGGATGATACCGGGCGAAAGGATAACTATATACACGACCACCATATTTTTATCGAGTTTTATCACACTTCGAATATCGGGTCATGCATTAAAAACGATCGGTATGAATATTACCATACGTGACATGTAAAGCCGTCGGTATATTGATATATATATTGATATCTCTAGCCGCAATCGATTTGCTACATTAGTGCCTCTTAATTAGTCACAAGGTTGAACCTAATATCACCGAATGCCTTGAATCGATAATTTCCTCCCGTTTGACGAAAGCTTTCGTGTTGCTCGAAATCGTCGCGAAAATCTCGGGAAGAAAATGCATACGACAAAAGCAACATAAGATAATTGTTCGACTCGTAAAGTAAATCGACGACACGGAACAATCGGCCAAGTTGAACGCTTCATCCCAGTTTGCCGGCGATAGAAGGTAGAACTGTGGTATAAATGTCGGAATTTCCGCGGAATCCGGGATCGTGGAAACGCAACAGGAACTTTTGAGAAATCATAATTTTCCGAAATATTTGACGGCTCGCCCGCTCGTTCGCTCGCAAGAGCGCCGCGTCGCCGCCCTTATTTCCCCTCCGCGAATTCTTAGTACTTTAATCGAAATATTCCCTCTCGAGATTGGACCATACCGATCCAAACTGATTTGATTCCACTGAGTGCGCGATGTTCCAATTGGAAGCCCTCAGGCATGACTATCTCTCGGCGTTTCCATTTTAAGTGGTCGACTCATGCGTCGTATACGCTCGAGATCTTAATACGCTTCCTGACCCTAACGCGATTGCACGAACCGGCGCGGCTCTTGGGAACACTATTTACCGACGTATTATAGTCGCAGTCACATGCAGTCGATATGTTTAAACTTCGACGTTTTCCAGAGTCGCGCTTGCAGAAATTACGTGTCAGTTTACGCGCGGCAATAAAAGTAAATAACTACTTTCGAGTATCGAACACCCTGTCGACGCGGTAGCGACGACGGGGGTGGCATTGCGACCGATCTAAAAATTTCGCGGAACTTTCTTTAAACTCTCTCTCTCTCTCTCTCTCTCTCTCATCGAGACGAGCGATCCGCATCTCGACGTTGAGCGGATCGAATTCGGGGGAATTTGTAGTGATCGCAAGAAAATATCCAAATTCGCTGGATCTCACTTCTGGCCCTTCGAAAATGGTCCGTGATTTATGATCCCTCGGACGTGCCTGGTCGAAGATCCGCCATTACGGAAACAGCCTGTAGTTCTGGATTCGGCTCATTAGGCAGCTGATTACGCGGACGTGCCTAAATCGAAGTTCTATACGCCGGGTCAATGGCGGCTCCAGCGTATTCCCGTGAAACTTTATTCTTATCTAGTGGGAACCACTTGGCGATCGAATAACTAGATTTATCGCGCGAATCTAGTAAGTTTTTACTTCACTGAATTTCTGATAACTCGCCGCTCCCGGAGAGCCGGGAGATGAAAGATCAACAAGAAATTCGGGGGTAAACTCGAAATTTTCTACCGACCGCGCCGAGAGTCCGGACGCGCGCGGTAGTTCCAACCTTAAGTTAAAAAAAGGGGGGCGCGCGAACACTAAAGTGAGAAAGGAGGGAGGAAGGGAGAGTGAGAGCAAGAAGAAAAAAAGGAAATAAAGGAAGGACGGCGCGGCTTTAGACCTCCGCAATATCTCCCCGCTCTCTCTCCTTCTCCCGAAAGGGAAGTTTCCACTTTTCTCCGTTTTATGGCGGATGGAATCTCCAGTGGTCGACGATGGAACTCGAATGTACGTATCTCGTACCCCCTTAAATAACGCGAGTACTTGAAGTTTCGTTGGCACTGGTCACCCGAGCAGCGCGCCAATATTCGTCCCGACTAAATTCATGGTAGCGGGCACTAAGTGGACACTGGCTGTCCTCGTGGCCATTCTCCTTTTTCTTATTCCCGGGCATCCTTGGATATCTGAATAATCAGTACTCGGACTGACGCCGCATTTGTAACTTCCTGCT